TTTGTCATATAGTACCCAAGTTAACCTATATTTCCAAATTCTGTGTTCTGATGCCTCCTTTGCATCCCTGCTCTTGAACTTTGGGGCCATTGTTAAGTAAAATAAGGGTTACTTGACTCTAAGCACTTTGATAATTCAGACACCTATTTAAACAGTCAGAAACATAGATATGCTAGACAAAGGAATAATTCACATTCTGTCCTAGATAAGAAGGGGTGGGACAGCATGAATTTCATTATCTTAGTTTAGTTAAAACAGTGCACAATTTAAAACATGAATTGTTTCTAGGATTTTCTGTTTAATATTTTCAGATCACAGTTGACCATGAGTAACGAACTGCAAGACTGATGACAAGGAGTACTACTGTACTTCCTATTTAACAGGCTTTATTTGAAATGCTTTATATTTAATCCTAGTACCTTGTGAGGTAGATTTTAATGTTTTATTTTTTTAATTTTCGGTACTGGGGATTGAACCCAGAGGTGCTTAACCACTGAACCACATCCCCAGCCCTTTTTTGCTTTTTCATTTTAATTTTTTTATTTGTTCTTTTTAGTTATTTTATTTAGAGACAAGGTCTTGCTTAGTTGCTGAGGCTGGCTTTGAACTCATGATCCTCCTGACTCAGCTCCCAGGCTGCTGGGATTATAGGCATGTGCCACTGTGCCCAGCTAGGTAGATATTATTATTATTATACTCCTCTATACAGATGTGGTTGTGAGGAACAAAGAGATTAAGTAAGTTGCCCAAAGTCACACATCTAGCAAAAGGAAGACTCAGATTCTAAGCCTGTTGTGCTTAGCATATGGTAAGCATTCAGTAGTACTTTTAAATACTATCAAAGCAGTGATTCAGTATGTGTAATCACTGAATAAAGAAGACATCTTTTTAAAAAACGTGTGTTCAGTTTAGATGGTTGGTATTCATTTCTTTTGTGTGTGTTTATTTCTTTTTATTTTTATTATATTTTACTAATTCTCTTCAGTTACCTTTCTTATAACCAATTTGTTCAGAAGAAGAAAATGGATGCCAGGACAGTGTGATGGTTAAAAGTGTACACTCAGGAGTCAGAGGGCCTCATTTCCAAGTCTAGAAGGATTGCTGATTAGTATTGTAACTGTGAATCATTGTTGCAACCTTGGGAAGTTTTCTTAACTTCATTAAAATAAGGTGTTCACATTTAAAAGAGGATAATAGGAATATTTATTTTATTTTTGGTACCAGGGATTGAACCCAGGGGCACTAAACCACTGAGCCACATCTCTAGCCCCCCCTTTTTTTCTTTTATTTTGAGACAGAGTGTCTCTCAGTTGCTTAGGGCCTTGCTAAATTGCTGAGGCTGTCTTTCAACTTGTAGTTCTCCTGCCTCAGCCTCTGAGCTGTTGGAATTATAGGTGTACACCACCATGCCCAGCAGAATACTTATCTTAAGAGAATAGTTGTAAGCATTAAATAGTGCCTGTATTGTACCTGGCATATAGTAAGCAAGAATGATTAATAATTGTACTATCCATTATAATAATTGTATTAATCCTCAATTTTTCCCTACTTTGAATAAGAATAATGACTTCCTCAGGTAATAACTTTGTAAAGTAAGATTAATTTGTAAAGTAAGATTAATTTCTTACAGAGATTTTTTTCAGCCTTGCTTTAGCCTCTCTTATTTTTTCTTTCTGGGGTTTTATATTTGTCATATAGCCTGTACAAACTCTTGTCTTCAGGAAGCAGGAGCCCAAGTGCCTGGACTGTGGGGAGTCTAATTTGGGAATCACCTTATTTGGGTAGAGCCCTGAGCTTCATGACAAGTAAACTATTGATTAACTGAATTGTCATTCTATAGGTGCTAAGGTGAAAATAGAAAAGAGTTGGTAAGTTTGAAACAGACAGAGAAGTAGAACCCTTAAGAAATTCCCTGTGCCAGAAAGAATGTCTGAAGTCACTTTTAATAGAGCATATAAAGCTTTAGCTTTAATTATGTGTGTGCTGTTAACACATTCAGGTATTTTTTTATTAGTAATTAACATTCTAGCAAACTTTTTACAGAGTTTATAGAAATACTATTGGGGATTTCTTTTCTGATAAGTGTGACATTGTCATAAAAGTATGTACTATAAAAAGTTAAAAAATGTTTACTTAGTGAAATTTATGGTTGCCTGTGTGATAATTTTCTTGCAGAAATGTGCTTTCTTTTCAACTCTGCCTACTTCATGGCAGTTTTTCTCATTTCTTTTTTAGGATTAAAAGCATCAACTGGAATCAATTTGCATTTGAAAATTGGATCAGCACAAAGACTTGATATTGTGGAATGCCTAGTAAACAAGCAATGTCATCTAAAGAACAAGAGAGGCTCTTGTGTTATAATGGAGAAGTCCTTGTTTTTCAGTTGTCTCAAGGAAATTTTGCAGATAAAGGACCTGCAAAACCATCCACATTACATGTCAAAAGAATGGTGTTTGATAGAGAAACAAGAACATTTGTTCTGAAGTCCACTGGGTTCTTTAGCATGAGAAAAGAATACTCTCATTTAAAAATTCTATGTTGCAACTGTGTGTCAAATTTCAAAACTGGAATTAACCTCCCTTACATTTTGATAAGAAGCAATAAAAATAACATTTTCAAATATTTTCTACTGTGTCTTCACAGTAACAATAGATTTGAAAAGCATTTGACTTTTAAACTATCCCATGAGTTGAAGGACAGCATAAGGGTTCTTAATGGCCCTTTAATTTTATGGCAATATGTCAAAACATTGTACTGTATCTCTTCCCATACTCGCAATGTAATTAGTGTGTCGGTTAACTTTTCCTCTATTGAATGGGCAGGGGAGATTGGAAATCTAGGTATAGTTTTATTGGGACTAACAGAATGTGATTCGTCTGAGGAAGAATGCAACCAAAAGCCCTCAGAATCTGATTTTGCAATTCAGAATACCAAATTTTGTGTATATTCTCTTGAAAATCAAGAAGTGTTAAGTGATACATATATTATCCCTCCTGCTTATAGCAGTGTGGTAACTTGTGTGCATGTCTGCACAACTGAGATTGTCAACAACCAGTTTAGAATGTCTCTGATTGCCCTTACTCAAAAGAATCAGCTGATTTCATTCCAAAATGGGACTCCTGAACGTTTGTGTCAGCTTCCATTTGAAGATCCTTGTGCTGTTCAGCTTCTGGATTCAGGTGAAGGAAACCTCTTTTTCATTGTATCATTTAGGTCCAATGATGCTTGTGCTGTTTGGAAAAAGAACTTTCAGGTACAGTGCTTAATCTCTAATAATTCAATTGGTGGTCTGATACCTTTTAAGCATTTCTGTGATTCATGGAGTTCACCCTGAAGTTTTATTATCTAAATGAATTTTTATAGTTCTGACTTTAAAGTCATAAGTGTCACATTGTTCTTTTTTCTTAATGTTAGCTGAATACCACCTGATAATTTTTTGTATTGCCATTTTGAATTTGGAAATATATAAATACATAACTATATGTAATTCTTTGTCTTTTGATATAACTATTTTTAACTTTTTAAAATATAATCATGTCAGATAACCTAGGTTAAGGGAAATAAAATAATTGTATTTGATTACTACTACTTAGCACTTAAGACAAAAAAGTAAATATGCTAGATTTGTGATTGAACATCCTGAGAGGGAAATTTTTTTCTAACATTGAGTTCTGAAAGGAATTTATTGTTTGTGGTATTATGTAAGAGGTTTTGGATAATAAAGTGAATACCTTATTAAATAATAAGATGATCTCTTTGATAGCAGTTTTGTCCCCGGAAGCAATCTTCCTTTGGGGTGGCTATGGATCCATCTATCCATTCTTTTACTACCTCTTTCCAAGAAGAAATTAAGGCAACTTACAAAGATAGGTAAAATAAAACAAGCATAAATCTGAGTAAATAATGAAAATCAAGGTTAGTGTGCTCCCAGATTAGCTCTTTTTAAAAGCCCCAGGTATGTTTAATCCAGTGATAGGACTTGAAACAGCTGAGTCTCTCTAAGAGAAATTGTCTCTGCAAGTTTTGACAAGAATGTTTGAAGCAGGCGTTTCAAAACTGAGGTCATTGTCAGGTATACCTGAATCAAATATTGATATATTGTCAATAGGAAAAGAGCTGTGTGTCTGATGTGGTAGTGACTAGCCATGTATGATTATTATTCAATGCTTGATATGTGTCTGGTCTGGATTAAAATGTGTTACGAATGTCAAATATATATAAGATTTCAAAGACTTGGTAAAAAATAAAGTAAAATATCTCCATTTTTAAAATTGACTACATTGAATTAAAATAGTATTAGTATGTATTAGGATGTATGTAATAGGATGTATTAGGTTAAATGCAGTTATGTCTCTATCTGAGGGTTCTATATCCATGAGTTTTGCCAACTTTTTTGTATGCTTATTCTCTAAGCAATACAGTATAATCACAATCATATAGTATTTTACATAATATTAGGTATTATTAGTAATGTAGAGGTGAATATATGGGAAAATGTAGGTGGTATATGCAGGTAATCCAGGAACCAGTCTTCCACCAATATTGAGGGGTGACTGTATGTATATTAAAATTAGTTTCACCTTTTCACTGCTCCTAGAAAGTTTAAAATTATGTATGCCATGCATTTGTGGCTCACCCGTATTTGTATTGGATAGCCGTTCTCAAAGTGTAGATTACCCATGTGTGTATTCATGCATGCCAGCTCTCTGATGTTTGCATGCTGAGCACATTCTCATTACTAATGTTTCTTCCTAAAGTTCATTAAGATCCATGATAATCTTGGGAGGGTTCTGGATTTTCAAATAAACGTTCTTCCAGCACAAGTGAAGAAGAATCATAGCTTTAGAAATTATCCCAAGAGGGGTAAGATTAATATTTGATTATATAGATTGAAGACCCTTATTTAACATTGTAGCCCTAATACAAGCCATCCTCCTGTGTCATCTAGATGTGCCTCTGCTCCTAGATTCTGAGTGAGGTTTTTCTGCCTCAGGGAGAAAGGGGAATCTCATCCTCATGGTGTTAATTTTCCAAGGGATCAATGTGGAGGCTTTCAGCTTTATGGACCTTTAAGTAGCTGTCTTCCATTTCAGATTTAGGGGTCTCCTGTTCTAATATAAACTGGCCAAATCATTCCACTAGGTGGGATGCTTCTAGGTGTCCCACTGTTATGGTCATTTACCTTTGAGTTCCCCTGATAATAGCTCTGTCCCCCCTCCCCAGGGTTTAAGCATATAAGTTCATCTTGATGCTCTTTTAAGTTAATCTGCTTTGAGTGTTCTTAAGTGTGTACTAGTAGTGCCAGTTACTGAATATAACTGAATTCTTTGGGTAATTGTTCTTATTCATAGATACATATACACTAAGGCTTATGGGAATGAAGGTTTTCCATAAATTATCCTTGATAGAAAAAGAATCTTCACTAGAGTTTTACTCATGATAGAAGTTAGGATTTACAAAAGATTTACTTACGAGAAGTGTTAGAATTTATAAATAGCTTATAATAGGATATTCATAGAGAAATTAGGAATTTGACAGTCCTTGGACAAACATTAATAAAGCATTAAATCTAGGTACCTTGGTATTTATGACGTTGTTTTAATGCCTTGTGTTTTCTGATCCCTATTTTATTTTAATTTTTAAACTACCATTTTCATTACCCATTTGTAATATTGAGGATAACAAATTACTCCATGAAAGAAAAGGACTTATTTATATCACATCTGATTTTTTTTCCTTCTCTATTCCTCTTTAAATGTGCACTTTCTCTCAGATTGCTGCTAAGTGGGAAAAACTTAACTCAGTACTGATAGATGACTTTGTTGGAACTGGAACTGAACAAGTACTGCTCCTTTTTAAGGACTCCTTGAACTCATTTAAAATAACAAATCTTGACAAAATAAATTATTCAGTAAGTTTTTTTATTGTATGTTATTTTAAGTCCTGTATTAAGAAATTTTGAGTACTTCAGAGCTTTTGACACACCATTTAAATATTTGTTCTTTTATACTTAAACCTTTGAATTTTAAAAATATATAGATTGAATCTTTTAAATATATACATTGAATCTCTCAACAAATATTATACAAACTGACTTTATATAAATTTGGAATATGGTATATCTGATGGTCATTCAAATGACATTAATACTATAACTTTGTTGCTTCTGAAAAATCAATTTTTATAACAATAAACATGATAATACTGTGTTAAGGAGTAAAATAAAGTGAAACTTTTTAAAGAAGTAATAGTTCAAAATATCTTGTAATCTTGAACATAAAAGAAATTATAGCTCTGCAGTTTAAATATGTGGAAAATCTTTCCAAACCTCAATTTTTTTTAGTTGTAAGATGAACATAATTCTTATAATCTCTAGTTAAAGGTTTTTATAATTTTGTAGAGAGCTAATGGACTAATACTTTTAAAGCATGGTTTTAATTTTAAGTAGTAATAGTAATAACCATAGTAATTTTATCTAGTTACAAGGAGATAGGGAAATACAATTTGCTTTTCATAAAATTGAGGGTAATATTTGAGTGGATAAATTTTAATCATATTTTATTAATCTTAAAATTTTCAATTTTATTTCAAATTTTATTTGTTTTATTTTTTTTAGAGTCACCCATTGAATTGTAATGAAGATGATTTATTTGAAGACCAACCAGAACACTGTTATTTGATGATTCCACCATTGGAAAAAAGATTAAAAGTTAGTGTCTTTATTTGCTTTATGCTTTTGAATTTTTTTAAAAAAATTTTATTCTTTTTAGATATATATGACAGCAGAGTATATTCTGACATAATGTAGATACATGGAGTATAACTTATCCTAATTAGGATTCCATTCTTGTGGTTTTATATGATGTGGACTTTCACTGGTCATGTATTCATGTATGAACACAAGAAAGTTATGTCTGATTCATTCTACTGTCTTTCCTAATCCTACCCTACTTCCCTTCATTCTGCTTTTGATTTTTGATGAATGGTATTCTAAATTAAGGAAAGAATACTGAAAAAAAGGTGGTTAAAGTATAAACAGCTTAGCACTTAGGGTAAAATGGTATTTCAAAGGATCTTTACCTTTTTGGCACCTGTGTAAAAGCTATTATAGCATTATTTAAAATATATCATCTAAAAATCACATATCTTTATAGTAAGATTGTGTAGATTTAATAAGCCTCATGAGACAAAATATAAGAGGCTCACTTTTGAAAACATATTCTTTCTGGCCTACAGAATTGATATACCACAGTATCTCCTTTAGAGGGGTTCCAAATATGATAAATCATAACACGTTTCAAACATGAAAAGTGTACCCTCAAGTTTTCCATAAAAAATCTCTTAAAAAATCTTTTTTTTCCCTCAAATGTACTAAAGTAATGTATATCTCCCATAAAATACTGAGCTTTTTGCTAGTAACTACTGAAAAGAAACTAACAAGTACCTATGTAAAATACCAACTTTAACACATTCATGTTTATATTCTTATAGTTTTATTATGATTTGATGCAAATGTATATGGAAATGAGGTTGTAAGTTGAATGTTTTTAATCTGCCTTTTTATTTTTGTATATATTTATGTTTTGTTATATATAAAATAGTCAAGTAAATATATTAAAAAGTTTGAAGAATATAGTGATTAACTCTGTAGTACCCATGTAGATTCAACTATTATTTATTTTTTAATGTTTTGAGATGGTGTTTTGCTCTTTTGCCCAGGTTGTTCTTGAACTTTTGGGCTTAATATTCCTTCTTTAGCCTCTTCAGTAGCTGGGTCTACAGGCATGTGCCACCGTGCTTAGCTCTTTTATTATGCTTTAAAAATCATATTTGCCTCATCTGTGTGTGTGTGTGTGTGTGTGTACACGCACATATTTGTAGAACCCTGTGAAAATTACAAATGTTAAAATACTTTATTCCCAAGTATTTCAGCTAGAATCTCCTAAAAATAAGGGCATTTTCCTGTGTTACCACAATATCATTATCACAATGAGAAAATTAATCTTGCTGGTCGTGGTGGCATATGCCTGTCATCCTAGTCTGAGTCTGAGACAGGAGGATCATGAGTTCAAAGCCAGCCTCAGCAATTTAGCAAGGCTCTAAGCAATTCGGCGAGACCCTGTCTCTATATGAAATACAAAAAAAGGGCTGGGGATGTGGCTTAGTGGATAAGTGCCCTGGTTCAATCCCTGGTACCAAATTAAAAGAAAAAGAAAATTAATCTGAATCCCTCAATCTTATTGATTTAGTCCATATTGAAATGTATTGTTTTGTTAAAAACATGTTTTTTGTATATCCTTTTTCAGTATCCAATCAGAGTTCATATCTATATTTGGTCATCATATCTCTTGTTGTTCTTTTCATGTAGAATAATACCCCTTCCTACCCTCCCCTGTTTTTAAAATGACTCTAATAAGGAGACCAGGCCAGTGGTCCCTCCTTTTGGATTGTCTGTTTCCTTGTAGTGCCATTTAAGTTTTTCTCTATCCCTAGGATTGGCAGACTTTTTTCTGGAAAGAGCTGCATAGTGAGTTTTAGTACTTTGTAGGCCTTTTTAAAATTCTTTCATAGCTTTTTCATTTATTAAAGTGAATTTACTAAATGCTTATTAAACACAGATAAGAATGTGAACAGTAGATAAATAAAACAGGTTAAGAGATGTAGAACCATAAAGGAAGAGATTAATATATTAAAAACTTTTGAAGCCTGAACAAAGTAAAGTAAATAAAAAGTTGTGGGAAAAGATTATAATAAATGACAAAGGGTTATTTTCTTTAGTATAAATGTGGCTTCTTACACAGAATTGTTGCAAATATTAAGTGGTCCTACCTTCTTGGAGGGAAACTTGTTATAGCTATTGAAATGTGAATCACATGTATCTTTTTTATTATCACAGTTTCACTTCTAGAAATACTATTCTAAGGATGAAGATGAATTTTTTTTGGATGTTAGGGATTGAACCAAAGGCTTCATGTATGCTGAGCACACAATTTACCACTCAAGTGCCAAGGTGGTTTCATAAGGATGTTTATGTAGCATTTATAAATAATAAGAGTGTTAAAGGATAAATCCATATCTTTAAGAATTGTGGTGAATGAATCATGATATATCCAAAACATGGAATATTATATAGGTATCAAAAAGAATAAGATATTTTTATATTTATTTAGAAATGAGGCCATAATAGGGTAGTTTATGAAAGCATGTATTTATAAAAGATTTGTTTTATAAAGCAGGTTAAAAAATAACTTGAAATATAGATGAAAAAAATTTGGAGTTTCTTAAAAGCTCTAACAACCTGACACAATATAAGAACAAATTATTAAATCAAATTTTTAAGTCTGGAACCCAGAGAAACAAGCAAAATACTGATGCTTCTTTTGCCCTGGAAGCATATTTGAACCTTCATCAGTGACAGTGATGCCCCAGGCCCTTGGCAAAAACAAATATAAAATCCTCTCTGGAAATACACATTTATCCCAGTCCTCATAGAAATCTCACAATTTTTTTTCAAAGAAAATAAGGCACTCACAGAATAATAGCACATACAAAACAAGGCATCACAATTAATCACTCACAGAAAGTCACCAAATACTGTTTTTTCCCCAATTAAAGAAGCTCAACAGAGGACTTTAGTAGTTAAAGTGGTGAAAGAAATGTAAAGCAAATTAGCGAATCAGCATGTATTAGAAAAATGATCCAGAAAATTTCATAAAGATAAGGAAACTATAAAAGGTTTTAAACAATATAAAGAGAAAGCATGGACATAGGAAGGTGAGGGATAAAGATAGTGTAGTGTCCTTTTTAAGAATACACATTAATAGCAGCTGTCAGTGTGGATAATAAAGTTCTAATGTTGGTAGCCATTTAAGAAGTTAGCAAGTCTTCCTTTCCCCCATCTTACACATGAGGAAACATAGAGAACCAGAAAAGTTAAGTGGCTTGCAGAGCTAGAGCTAGAGTCCATTGTTCTGTTCTTTCTGCCATGAAATTTATTTTAACTAGTCTTGTGATTCACTGTTTAGTCCTGTGGCTGGGGATATACTGAAGACAGAGGAGGCAAGACACCACAGCTAGTTTTCTGAGGGTTCATTTTCAGGCTGCCCACATAGTACTTTCTTCTACTCCATACCCATCCAGCAACTCAGATTTGGCTACATATCTCTGATGAGTACATCTTCTACACAAGCCATGAGTTACTGAGTGAATGAGTGATGGACCATGAAAGATGTGTAACTCACAGAACTAGGTCAACAAGAGAAGTTTAAAATATTAGATAGAAGTTTAAAATATTACAGACACTTTATATACTTTGTACAATGAGGTTAAAATATAGAAATAATTCAGTCTTTACATTCTAACTTACATTCATTGATAAAAATAAAATTGGCTTGCCTGAAAACTTACAGAATCAAGAAGAAGAATGTATTTTGTTTTTTAAATATAAAAAGACATGTTTTATTAAAAGCTAGATTAATACTTAAAGAGCCTCAGATAGCCATCTGAAATGAAACAACTTCTATCAGTTCAATGACATAACCCTTTAAATTTTCAGTAGCAAAATATATTCCATGAATGTTTCATCCTTGGTGCTGAAATCTGTTTATCTGGTATAATAAAAGGAATGTGTTGCTATATGCCCAGTTCAGTGCTAAATTTGTATTTTTTTTCAGTAATTTTCAGTATTTTTTTCCAGGAGAGTTCATCCTAGCACTGAGTTTATTGATGCAAAAATCAACTTATAACATGTCAGGGTTGTTATGTGTCGTCTTTAAAATTTTGTTATATGAACAGAGGGTTTCATACTATCATATTCAGAGTGATCATTTCTACATGATGATGTCTTTGCTTATATGGAGGCTTTGTTTTTGAAGCAGAAATTATTTCAACAAGAAAAAAGTTTTTGATGAGGGTGAGAGGATTAATAGGATTTGATTCTTATCCGTATTGATTCCTAGTTACTTAACTCAATACTGAAATGAATGCTACTAGATTAACATTCTTTCAGTTTGAAACATAAACTCTATATTGCAGTTATATGCTGTATTTTCCTTTGGAAAAAAATACTTTTTTGTAATTAGGCTTTAAATCTATAAATAAAAATTTCTGCTCTGAGAAATAGTCTCTGCTTTTTTATAGAAAAATGAATTGAAAAACACATTTGGAGAAAGTACATCCTGAATTAATGGTATGCCTTTGAAATTATGACTCTGGCAACTATTTTTCTTTCTACTTTACAGGTTGGTTTGGCTTCTGTTCAGGAATTACAGCAGCATCTCTTGCTTAAGGAGAAAATTATTTCGAAATCTTGGAGAGCTTTAATAAATTTGGTTCAAGGGAAAGATGATAGTACATCAAGTGCAGAGGAGGTAAAATTAATCGTGGCCATTTTATCATTTTATGCATCAAAAATCTGCAAGCTGTTGAAGAGTTATTAAAATTGAAATGTTGGAATATATTAGAAAATGCTGTGCACTAGATCAAGAACAAAAATGGCAGGAATTACAATGGTGAACTTTTATGGCATTGAAAAATATTTGATTAAGGAGCCAATATTTTACCTACTTGCATGCAATCCTGTAGGATATTAAATCTTGGTTAATTAAATTAAATTTCAGTTATCAGAAACCTTGAGGAACAAGTTCTGTTAATTTAAAAAAAGATTTAACTATTAACTTTTATTTGTATGATTTAGATAGGAATTACTCATGAGTAAATTACATATTTTCTGAATTTGTAAATAGAATATACTGAGCATTATTTGACCTTATATTAGTGATGACATAATTTTATCATTAGCGTGATGATTGTTCTTTTAGTCAATTGCATTGTTTATTTCGAAGAATATTTATTCCTCTAGTAAATACCCCTTTGCTGTGTTTTCTTAGTACTTCTATGTGCATTTTATAATTTAACTCTTTTTTCTTTGTGGCTGACCATCATATGATCCTCTTCAGGTACCCTGCAGTTACTTATGCTGGTACAGTAATGTTAAGAGTTAGTATAAACTGTTCAGACTTCATAAAAAGTAGTGTTTATGCATATTAATTACATACAGAGAAAGACCAGCATTGCACAATTGCATAGAGAAACTATGTGGCATTTTGTTTTCTCAAGTCCACTGTTGTGCCTTGCCCTGACTTCCTCTATATTGACCATTCTTTATTTTTTTCTTTTTTATTAGTTGTAGATTATTTATTTATTTATATGTGGTTCTGAGGATCAAACCCATTGCCACACATGCTAGGCAAGCACTCTACCACTGAGCCACAACCCCATGCCCTATATTGGCCATTCTGTGTCCCCTGCCTGCATTTTATTCTTAGCAATATGAAGAGTTTGGTCCAAAAACGGATCCTGTTAATGTAAAAAACATAAGGAAAGCACATCATGTATTTCTTTATCACTGTTCTAATTTCCTGGGAGACCTCAGAAAAGTCATTGTTAAAATTGAATCTCCCCATTCCCTTCCCAACTACTGCATTAATTTTGCTAGTATTATACAGAAGAAAGAATGTTTAGAAATGAATTGAAACCACTATGTTCAAGGCCCCATTTTGGGATCTTTACACTGTTAATTTTAAAAACAAGACTGGCAAGTAGTAACAATTTCCTCAGATTTCTGATGAATAGTCTGCCTCAGATCTCACAGCTTCTGGCCAAAGCCAGTAGGAACATGTTAGTGCACTGTTGTGTTGTAAGGGCCCATATCTTTTGCAGTAATTACCACATAGAGACACAGAGTAGGCTGTTAGAGCACGGGCTCTGGAGCCAGTATGCTTCAGTTCAAACCCAGCTCTGCCACTTGCTTGCTGCCTTACCTCTGGCAAGATACTTAACTTCTCTGTGCTTCATTTTCCTTACCTGTAAAATGTAGACAATAATACAACCAAGTTAGGATACTAGAGTTATTGTAAGGGTTAAATAAATTGATACATGATTGGCATTTAGAACAGTGCCTGACATAAACAGTATCTCTACTACCACTATTTCTATTGTTCTTATAAATATACATGTTTGCAGAAATTACTGAGTATGACCTGGACATTAAGAATGAATTTTAACAATCTACAAACAAGTCCAAAGATAAGTTTAATTGATTTTATTAATACAAAAGTCTACAGTTATCAGCTTAGTGAGAGTTGCTGATAAGATATTGGATTGTGGGCGGGTTATGGCTCAGTGGTAAACCGCTTGCCTGGCACGCATGAGGCACTGAGTTCAATCCCCAGCACCACATAAAAAAAAAAAAAAGACTAAACAAAATAAAGGTATTGTGTCCATCTACAACTAAAAAAAATATATATATTGTTTTTGGTATACCTGAAATCCATATTGTTGGACTGATTCCAGATTCATATCCCTGCTAGTTCTCTGTTGGGTAATTCATCTTGTTCCAGTCAGATCATGCTTGTTAATCTGAGAATATAATTAATGTTATGTTTTATACATTTTATTTTAGTAAATTATGTATAACATATAATATGGTATATTATGATTTATTTTAAAATGTTTAAACAATAAGACCTGACCAAAAGCTAATTTACATTATTTTAATTTTGGTGCATTTGATACATTTTTTTGTAATCAGTTATTTAAACATATTTTTGTATAAGGGATATCTTGTTCCTTTTTGTGGTGAAGAAGAAAAGTGTGTTCATACCTCTGATGAAAAGTTACCAGACAATTTTCAAGATCCAGAACAGCTAGTAGAGAAGTTGTGGTACCGTGTCATGGATGATAGCTTAATCGTTGGAGTGAAAACATCATCTTTGAAGCTGTGAGTAAATTCTGATGTGATAATGCTATGCTAATGCTCTAGGTCAGCACTGTCCATATTAAAAAGTGTAAATAAAAGTAGATGAGATTAATTTTATTGATGTTTTTATTTAACTTACTATATTCTAAATATTATCATTGTAACATGTAATCAGTATCAAAATTATTAATGATATTTTAGGTTTATTTTTTCATACCAAGTTTTTATATCACATTTGGTTCAGACTAGCCCCATTCCTAATGCTCAGTACCATATATCTCTTGGCCAACATAGCTGTAGAAGTATCTCTTTTATACAAATGCATTGAAGTTAATAATATGAAGAAAGTGCATTTACAAAATCAAGATGTTGTAGTCTCAGGGTAGACTTATGGGATTATTCAGATTAAACAACATATAGAACTTTTTATCCAAACATTTGGAAATATTTCGAACATTTAGAGACTATTGACTAACATGGATTGGTGAAAATTTAATTAAGTAACAAAAGTGTCTGATAATAGAGGACTTTTCTCTTTTGAGATCATGTATAGGGAAGTAATGTCTATGTTATCTGCAGATTAGGAAAGAGCTTTTTAGACAAAATAGACTAAATATAGTATCATAGTGCTGCATTTAACCCCAAAATACACAAGCAGAGAGAGACCAGGTAGTTCCTTGTAGTATATGGCAGTATATTTGTGCAGCTCAACACAGTAGGAAATTTAGATTACTTACCCAGTAGATTTGAAATATGGATTTGTTCTTGTTTCTGTGAATTTCTAAGGAGTTTTGGACTGGTTGATTATATAGATTTTTTTTGTCTCTTCTTTAAGTTGGTGAGTTGTACTAACAATTTTCTATTGATGTCATGTTACTGAGATAAACCGGAATTTATCATTTGGTACATCCATAGATTGGGCTTGTTAATGTTTAGCCAAGAATATTTGCATTTCTGTTCATAAGTGAATTTGGCTTAAATTTTCCAAAACAATACTTGTTTGGTTTTAGTATCAAGGGTCTGGCTGTGTTGTCCAGGCTGGCCTGGAACTCCTGGACTCAAGTGATCCTCCCATCTTACCCTCATAAGTAGCTATGACTACGGGAATACACTAGCATGCCCAGCTTATACTATGTTATATTTATTCATTTATTTTTGTGTGTGATAGGGTTTCACTCTGTTGCCCATAATGGTCTCATGGATTCATGAACTCAAGTGATCATCCGTCCTCAGCCTTCTGAGTAGCTGGGACTACACCATGCCTGGATTTATACTAGTTTGTAAATTAGTTAAGGATTATTTCCTTTTTTTCTGTTTTTCTAATTTGTGTAAGTTCAGAATTATTTGTGCTTTGATATTTGCTTTACTGACCTTGAAAGCAGTGGAAACCTGGCCATTTTTTTCATGAGATATTTTTAAACTACCGATTCAGTTTCTTTAAGACTTATGGGATTATTCAGATTTTATTTATTCTTAAATGCATTTTGCTTATATTTTCCTAGCAATTTCTCCATTTCACCTGTCATCACGCTTATTAGTTTGTTTCCAAGAGATTCAGATATTTATCAACCATATTATCAGTCTTTTGTTTTCATTCCAAACCTTGTGTCTTGCTTTTTTTTCTTGATTACTTTTATTAGAAATTCATTCATTTTATTAGTCTCTTCAAATTTTTTATGTCAGTCTTCAATTGTATGTTTCCTGTTTTATTAATTTCTAATCTTTTATTATTTTCTTCTACTTTCTTTGGGCTTATTCTATTATTAACAATTTCACTGTGATATGATTAGATATAGATATTGATTCGTTCTTCTTTAGGTCTTAGAATTTCCTGGCTCTAAGAAATGATTTTTAATTTTTTGGCAACTCAAGATATTCTTAGTTATTATCTTTTCAAATATCGATGCCTCCCAGTTTCTTCTTTTTTTCTCTCATGGGATTCTACTTATTTCAGGAAGTCTTGTTAGGCCTGCTGATTCTATGTTCCATATCTTTTAACTTCTTTTTCATATTTTCTATTCATTTCTCAGTATAAATCCTAAGTAGTATATTCTATTCACTAATTTTATCTTCAGTTATCTTTATTCAGCTATTTAATCTAGTCAATGAATTTCTAATTTTTATTATGATTTGTACTTAAGTTGTATTTGCTCTTTTCAGATCTGCCTTGTCATTTTTTATTGTCTCTTGTATTTTCCACTTACCTTTTATTTCCTTAATATGATAAACAGAATTACTTTTAAAATGTTTTTATATATAGAAAATTCCAAACATACTAAAAGAACAATATGATGAACCTCATCTGCCCATCATTGAGCTCCAGTAATTCTCAACTCATTGCTAATCTTGTTTCATCTATATCTCTATTTACTTCTTACCCCTATGCCCAGATTATTTTGAAGCAATCAAAGGCATCATTTTATTTCACCTGTAACTCTTCCAGTGTGTGTATCTAAAAAATAAGACTTCGAATATGAATGTAATCACCTCCTTAAAAATAACCAGTAATTTCCTCAGTAAACACTAAAATTTCTCACTTGTTTTCTATCAAAATATTTTTTCAAATCCGAGTAATATTTGTAAATTGAAGTTGACTGATTGATATCTCCAAGTCCCTCATAATGTATATGTGCCCTTTCCATGTTTTTTTTGGTATGTGTTTCTTTTATGTATTTGGAAGGAACCAAGCAGTAGACCTGTGAAGTTCTATAGACAAGATTTTTCTGATTTCATCCTGTTATTGCTTCACATGTTTCTCTGTCTCCTGTATTTTCTCTAAAGTAGTAGTTAAAACATATTTCTCTGTCTCCTGTATTTCCTCTAGAGTAGTAGTTAAATCTAGAGCCTGGATCAGATTAATGCTTGAATTTCATTGAGAAAATACTTAATAGATAATGTTGCTCTGTTGCTTCAGACATCATATAAAGTCTGATCTTTTCATTTTTGTGATATTAGCTATTGGTGATCATTATTATATTAGAATTTGCAGTATGATGATTTTTTTGATCCCATTATTCCTTTTTTACTAGCTGGAATACTTCTATAGAAACACTACTCATCAGTTATTTACCTATATATAGTTTGTAATTTAGAAACCAGAGTTTGGACATAAAAGGTGCTCATTTGCTCTTGAGTGCATTGCTGTTTCTAGACCTTTTTAGTGGGCAGAGGGAGGAGATTTTTTTGTTGTCATTTGTTGGTTATGATTTTTTTTTTTTAGTGTTTCCAATTTAGACTAAGAATTTCATGATCTTTACTTATCACCACCAGTCTTGCATTGGTATCTCTTTTCTCCATTGCTGAAAATCCCAGTTCTCAGTTGTACCAACATAATTACTTGTTTTATTCCACAATCAGTAGGACAGTATTCATAGAATAACGATACCAACAATATGATTGTTACAATTTTTTAACATATAACCCACTAGATACACAGTGAAATTCTTGTGTGTTAAAATCCTCTAATTGGTCATATTATCATTCTTACCTGTTTTATTTGGTAATGTTGACAATGTTGAGTATATTAAAATAAGCCTATATCATAACTTGTTAAGTTGTTAGAAGTGTAAATCTGAGAAGAATTGCTGAGAAACCAGCCATATTCTTTATTAAAAGCAGATATTATTCAAGTAATTCATGGGAATAAAAATCCAATTTTTTAGATGTATTTGAAATCTAGATTATTACCAAAATAAACTCTTAAAAATGAGTAGTTTTGGGGCTGGGGATGTGGCTCAAGTGGTAGCGCGCTCGCCTGGCATGCATGCGGCCCGGGTTCGATCCTCAGCACCATATACAAACAAAGATGTTGTGTCCGCCGAAAAGTAAAAAATAAATATTAAAAAAATTCTCTCTCTCTCTCTCTCTCTCTCTCTCTCAAGAAAAATGAGTAGTCTTTTTCTTTTTTGAAAAGGTTGAGGGGAAAACACTACGTCAAAAATTAAATCCAGCACTATCGTAATTAAAGTTAATTTTTAACTTTACCTTTAAAAGTTATTTTCCAACTGTTGGGTGTTATATCACACACTTGTAATCCTAATGACTTTCGAAGATAAGGTAGGAGGATCACATATTTGAGGCCAGCCTGGGCAACTTAGGGAGACTCTGTCTCAAAATCAAAAGTAAAAAGTGCTAAGAATGTGGCTCATTGGTAAAGCACCATTGGGTTCAGTCCTCAGTACCACAAAAAAAGTAAGAAGGAAAAACAATTTTCCTTAAATCTACCATATTTCCAGTGGTTTTGCTGGCCTATTTTAAGAGAAGTGCTATGTTTACAGGGCCTTTAAAAATCTGCTTGACTTTTACTGTTAACTCTGATATATTTTATCTTTGAAATGATGTTTCCTAGGAAAGAAGAGATTAAAAACTTTTGTCATTTGTATGGTGTCTAATCTTTTATTTGATTTTTAAAAATGGGGTGATAGAATTTTAAAAATGTGTTGGTTAATCAAACTTTGTATTTTTTTACAGGTCCCTGAATGAGGTGACTTTATCGCTGATAATGGAGCAAGCCTGTAACTCCAGCTTTCGGCTTATTAAATGTGAAAATAGAGTGATTAAGTTGAGCACAGATTCTTTCCGAGCACCACACTTGATGCCACAAGATGAAATAGGATCAGAAGCTAAAAGGATCAAGTTGACCTCTGATAGTAAGGAAGAAGAAAGGTCTGCTTGTGAACAACCATCTATGAAAACATATGTACAGATATTTACTGCTATAACATCTCTTTCACCACTTTTAGCATTCAATAAATTTTGTTGCATTGTGCTGCTACACATTAGGGAGAGAGAAAATGGTAGCTGTCCTAAAGATCATTATATTCCATGTGGCAGACTTTTTTTAAGTATAGAAGATCTTTCAAGTGGGAAATACTTAATGTTTCCAAAGAAGAAACCCATAGGTTTGTTGGCACTTTTTAATCAAATACTTAATTGAATCAGAAAATTTTAAGAACTGTTTATTTGATAATGGACAGTTTAATGATAGAAATTGTGACTTTTTCTTGTAGAGGACATGGAAGACCTTTTTGCACTTCTCACAACTTTGCACAAATCTTGTATTCAAGTCATTTCACCTGCCTATTCCCTGAATTCAATGAAGATGTGGCTCTTAGATTGCATGAAATGTGAAGTAATCAAAGAATTTCCAGAAATGTGCTTTTGTAAAAGGCCAAGAAGTTTGTATGGGACAGTCTTCAGTTGGAAACAAAGAACCCCATTTGAAGGCACTTTAACAGTCTATTCCAGGTAATGCACATTAAATTGGGATGTTAGTGCGTGTGTGAGTGTGGTGACCCTATGGTTCAATAGCTATCCCCTTGTAGAGTTCTGTGCTATTGTGGGACATGTCAAGGGCATGCCCTGGTATAGAATGAATGGATCGGTATACCCTCATTTAAAAACTGAAGATCTCTGCTTTAATTTTATGTTTGTTATTGACTTTTTAAAGAGCCTAGTAATTATTTTAAGATTTCTTTTTACCTCTTCATAGTGAAATTTTTAAAAAATATATACTGATGTTAATGTTTAAAAGAAATTTAACAGGAAGCAGTTATTAACATGAACTGAATTGGTATTTTATATATATATATATATATATATGTACATATATATATATATATGTATTTGATTGCTGCAGTCTGACTTTTATCAACGATTGCATGCATTTTTTGGTTCTCTACATCATTATAGTATATAAATGAATATCAGTTGATTACTATATTATGCTGTATATGACTACTTTGTGCTCATCAAATTTTGTAATATTATATTTGGTTTTTATTTTAGGAATCAAACAGTTTTGTTCCAGTGCCTTCGTAATTTCATCAGAGTTCTCCCTATAAATTGTTCCTTCAAAAATTTAAAATTAGAAAATGAGGATTTCCTAGTTGATCATTTGGCATTGACTTTGGAGAAGGAACTGGTTACCCTTGGTTCTCTTTCTTCTTCTGCTTTAGCTAAGGTTGAAAGCAACTTTGTACAGATGTGTGAAGCAAACACAGGAAAGAGTAGTGTCATGGCTGCTTCAACGGACAGGAAGGAAAAAATCCGTTTGTGCAGAGAAGAAGTTCAGCGAGAAAAGAAAATGTTGGAAAGGAACCTAAAAGTGAGTGGTGTCCTTTATAGAGAGATGACTTTAAAATTGGTTGAGATTCAGTTGCAGTCAGACCTCACTGCACAGAAACTAACCAGTTTATAATCACAATTTCAGTGTGATCATACTTGAAATTGTTTTCACTGCCATCAATTTTGGTTATGCTTTATATGCCCCTTTTTAAAAATATTGAGGCTCATTGCAGTTCTTTTAGTTTTGATGATGCACAAAATAGTATTCCTTAGAGAGTGGCAGTTTTCAAGTGGGGCTATTTTGCCTTCCTCTGCTCCCACCTTCCATTGCAAGGATCATTTAACTGTGTCTGGAGGCATGTTTTTGTTTGTTTGTTTGTTTGTCAGAAGTTGTAGGGTAGCATATCATATGGACAATCATAAAAACCAAAACAAGAAACTAATACTAGGGATATTGTGGCTGGATAATTCTTTGTGTTGGGGAGCTGTCCTGTGCATGTAGTAGGAATTTTAGCACCATCCTTACTTCTTCTACCTTCTAGGGATAGATAGAATGTACTGTGGGCATCTAGTGGGTAGTACTCCATGACATAATTACCCATTCCCAAATGTCAATAATGCAGAGATTGAAGAATCCTGTATTTACCACTGAAGTGAAGACAGATATAGTAGTATTTTTTTATCTAAATCTTTTTAAAAAATTTAATCCTTTGCTTATATTCTGCTTAGTAAAACCTAGCATGTAAAAAAAATTCAAATGAATAAATTAAGCAAGATTGTCAGGATTCACAGGTTTCTGTAAATATTAAGCTCCTTTAGGAAGTTAAATGACAGAGTATCTGAATGCCAATTTTTGAAACACTTGTTAATTTAAATTTTATTAGAGAGCTGCTCTGAAATTGTGTAAGTCTATAGGAATGTAAAAATTGTAGGGCATTTTTCTGAAAGGCACATCCTTTCAAAAGGCTAAGTATATCTCACAGATCACGATTAAAAATAAAATTGAAAATGCTTTTAAGCCATCTGAAATTCCAACTCTAGGTAAAGGTAAAATATAAAATTGCAACTAAAATAATTTAAAGAATATGGTGCTCCTTAGGGACAGAGAGATTTAGAAATAAGTGAAAATTCACTCAATAAAGAAGTGATTTATAAGGGATACACTGAGAGACATTTCAAAGGGATAAAAATTGAACCTAGTCTTTTTTCTTTTTTTGAAAAATAAGAATTTTTGACTAATAACAGTGTCAGGAGAAAGAAAAGACACCAAAAGGTATGAGCAGGAAGAAATGTTCCTGATCCTTTTTACTCTAAAATCCTTAAGTGAGATGCAAGTTTCCATCTCAGTTGAAAGAAATACAGATGATTATAGGAAGTGGCATCTCATGCTTGAAGCTATGAAGTGCTTATTCCCCCTATGCCATAGAAGTGCTTGTGTCTAATGATCTGGTGATATAAATGTTTTTTGGAGAATATAGGATATTAGTTTCTTGTCTTGGTTTTTATGATTGTTCGTATAATATACTACCTCTTTTTGAAAGTCCATTGGCAATTGAGATAGAACTCTACAGCCCTATTTCTATGAAATCCCATTGGAAAATATTTCAAATGTTCTGCAGATGGAAATGGAATAAATTCAGGATTAATTATAGAAATCTGGAAATAGTATGTATTATTTGTTATCTTTTGAAACTGACCAGGTCAAGTTCTGAAAGAACAAACAAGTATAAAATACAGTAACCAATTGTAAAATTGAGGCTGTCAAATACTTAACAGTATTTAATTTTGATAGTTTATCTGTAGAGAAAATTGCGATACTAACAAATAGCACATTACATATTTTTATTTATAAATAACAGTCAGTACTATATGTGAGTGTATGTACATACACCAAACACCTTTTTGACAAGTGAGTTTTGTATTTTAGTATGCTTTTCCTACTAACTGCAAAGTAGACAAGCCTAAGTTTGAGGAGTTGACACCCTTTCATTTTCAAGATTAAGCTGTATTTGCATCTGTAAACAAATCCCATTGACCTCTACCCTGTTTACAAATCTGAGGTTCCTCTCAAAAATATATTCCTCCCAAATTTATAGTGCTAAATTCAAACCAAATTTTTTTTTTTTAGGAATGGAGCTCTCCATAGTTTTCAGCAAAATAATCATCTATTGGCTTCTGACTCCATTAACTAAGGAATATGTTCAACCCAATGTATATTCAGTTCAGTAACTATGCTTAGTAAAGGGGCAAGTAATGTACAGTTTATTGACTGTCAGCCTCTATATCAAAGAGTAACCATGAAACATACACTCATGTGAGCATGCATGTGGATGAACACACACACAAATACACATACATACACACACATGCAATTTGTATATACACATGGTTAATTCTTCACAGCAGTCCATGAAGTATAGTTATTAGTGTTGTCCTCAATATGAAAAAAAATGTTAAATTAAGGGGATGCCTAAAAACACCTTGATCCTGTATCCTTGTTGTGAATTATTTTAATAACAGCAGAAGGGCTGGGGATATAGCTCAGTTGGTAGAGTACTTGCCCTTGCATGCACAAGGTCCTGGGTTCAAACCCCAGCATCACACACATGCACACACACACACACACACACACACACACACACACACACACACACACAAAACAAAAACAAACAAAAAAGCAGATACTTTAAGAAATTTAATAATATGCAAGTGAATCATATTGTTGTAATAACATCTCTTTATACCATTTACAATTGACCAAGTTTTTCCCCAGTGTCAGAAAGGAAAAGATGTAGTTTACATCTCTATTTACTCTCTCCAATAAAATAAAAAATTGAACTGTTTAGGCTAGAAGCCTGTGTAGAGCTTTCCTTCCTTCCTTCCTTCTTCCCTCCCTCTTTCCTTCCCTTTTTTCTCTCTCCCTCCCTTCCACCTGGATAGTACTAGACATTGAGAGGAATCCTTTTTTGTTTTGCAAAAACATTATTTTCTGTGCTCAGAATTTAAGAGTGTAATATCTTTCTTGGATAACTGTATCTTGTGGAACTTTAGGCTTTTACTTCTAAAGACAGCCTCGTGCAGTGGAATGAATGTTAACACATAAACAGTATACTTAATTGAATTCTTTAGGGGTTTGTTCTGTTTTCCATTTTTGAATTTTCTATATCTACTACTTGAATTGCTTACTGCCTCAACAAAATAATGCTCTCCTATAAAACCTGCTGTTATGCATATTTTTGCAGTGCTGAGTCTAGTTACTTTTTAAACACTGTTTTAGTAATCCTGTCAATTTGACTTTTTGTTTAGTAGGATGCCAGGTCCTGTTTGGGTGCTGAACTTTCATAAAGGCATTACATTAGATAACCATAGTCTCTTCTTTTTAGATTTTTTTTTCCTGTGCCATACTCATGAGCAGCTGTGTTGGACAAAGTACCTGGGCATGTAATTATAGTTAAACATCGCGGCCCTGGGTTCAGCTAGAGGGTTTACCATCCTTAACTTCATTTTTAATTATCTGTTTCCCCACAGCAATAGCCACTTACGTCAGAATATAAGTGGTGTTATGGCGAATAAAGCATACCGTTAGTAATTAGTCCAAACATTTAGCTGGATACCATTTAGTCAGGAGATAAAAGTATAGCATGCTCTGTTGATTGCCCCTTGCACATCTTATTTCTCCTCGTTTTTTCAATACCAGAACTCTCATTCATGAAACTTTCTTTCCCACTGGTTGCATAATTGGGGAGGTGGACCCCAATTCTAAGCCTGTCAATATAACACCTTTCATTGACAGTCATTATTGATCTGGTGCAAGACCACTCCATTGGGACTAGTCATATTGAAGTGAAGGACTTGGTTCTTTGTTGAGGAAGAGACACTTGCTAGAAGTAAGTTGTTCTAATTTTAAAATTTGAGAGTTATGTTAGAGTCACAAGGAAATTAAATCTCTGAGTGAATTTGACACCAGACCTCAACATTTTTATTGTTGTACCCCTGAATCAAACCTAAATTCTGCTTTTTCCCTGGATTGCTGATTGCTTCAGAAAAAAAGATCCTCATGACAGAAATCAGAGTTTCTGCTACTTGCAGCTGAAATTGTTTCAAACTGCTAGAAATTGGGAAAAGAATTTTAGAGAATAAAGCACATGGAGTACAACAACAGAAACCATTTACTACAAAAACAGAATGCTTTTACATTTAAAAAGCATGCCTACCCTGATTTCTGGGTAGTGACTCACTTCCCCTTCTCTAAGTTTATAATTCAAACTACTATATATTTGATAGCAGTGTATACTTGAAATAGAAGTTTTAAGTTTTTAAAATTTATCTTATTTTTTTTTCTTTGTATTAGGCCATTCCAGTTGTTTTCTTATGCCTTCCTTATTGGGGTAAAGGCATATGTCTGATTCTTTAACCTATTTCTCAGTATTTCCTATTTTATTTTATTATTTTTTTTTTATTTTTTAGGGCTGGGGATGTGGCTCAAGTGGTAGCACGCTCGCCTAATATTTCCTATTTTAAAATAAAAATTATAAATATAAGGACCATATCTGTCCAGTTTGTTTCTTAGATATGTGAAGAATTCTTACTTTAAATTCTCATTTCTTCTGACAACTGTTCTCTTATTCTTAGCTACATCCTCTTCAGTAGGAAGAGGAAGAAATCTTTATCAACTGTTACTTTTGAAGGAGTCTTTACTAGGAAAAACAAATTTGATGTCATAGGACTGTTTGGGAAGTAGAGTAGTATTGCTATGTCAAGAGATACAGCATTATTAATTCAGAACTTACAGCATTTTCAAAGATAACAGATATATACATGGAGTGAAAGATAACCCTTTCTGATTCCTTTCTAATCTCATCGTAAAAACAAGGTGATGGTAATTTTTCCTGTGGTTTTGTGAGCCTGATGAGATATTTTAGGGTTTAGAGTGGCTGAGTAATTTGTCAAGTGCAATAATAAAATCCTCTTGATTTATCCAAACAGGAAATTAATATATTCCAACACTTAAAAGATTCTGATAAAAAGAATAAAAACATTGGCATGTGTTTGTGGAAGATAGAGTCTGAAAGAAGCCAGGATCAAATGTGTTACAGTTGGCAAAATCATCAGAAAAATAAAACCTAAGTATGTTGTCCATGCATTGGTCTTAGGAAGGGCAGGTGGGGCTTGGTGTGCTAGTCTGGTGTTTCCTGAAGCTGTGCCACCTGAAAGTGGAAAGAATTAGATAGGAAACATAAATAGTAAGGAAACGAATTATCCACAACATTTAAGAAGAGTTGAATAAAACTGTACCCTACACTTGCATACCAATTTTCTACAATGCGGTATGCTGTATGATATATATAGCAAACATGTTTTCCTAATGATTTGTTTGTATGATCCTAACAACACTTTAAAATTGTGTTTTTCTGGATAGTAGTCATTACTCATTTGTGGCTATTCAAATTTACATTTTAATTAGTTAAAATAGAATAAAATGTAAAGATTTAGTTTCTTATTTGCTCTGACCACATTTAAAGTGCTCAATAGCTACATGTAGCTAGCATTTGGTCAGTGCAGAGAACATTTCCATGGTCATAGGAAGTTCTACTTGTCTGTGCTACCCTAAGATGTTTACTATTAACTAACTCTTGTTTCCTGATAAAGAAACCGAGACCCAGACAGGTTAAATAATATGCCCAAGATCACATAGCTAGAAAGGGAACTGCCAAGATTTAAATCCTCCATTCTAGTTTTAGAACCTCTGCTCTTTCGCCACTAGGCTATTCTGCTTATAAAATCAGATTGTAATAAAACACTGTCATATTGTAACAAAATGCACTTAACTATTGTATTACAATTTCTGGTTCATTTTGGGGGGAATTCTTGAATGAAAGTGTCACTTCTCTAAATAATCCTTAAATAGCTTCTCCTTGGGAAATATGTAGGTCTTGTGAGTTGCTGAAATATTCACCATTAGTTGGTCATCAACACAGTAGGGAGCTTGGAATTCTAGGAAAAATTGTGAGCTGTCTAGCTTAGAAAACTTACATCTTTATTCTATGAGTACTGTGACACTTGAAAAGAAAAGGTATTCTGTTTTCTGTTTTTACCCTTTGCCTGCTCTAATCCTTTCAGATGATCTGCCCATAGAAAACATTTCACTTCTTTGAAAATATGAAAGTAAGGAGATGTAGGGATCTGTCATTCATTCATGTTTTTAAGTTTCATTGAATACAGTATTGTGCACATCTAGGAGCTGGAGATACGAATATAAATAAGCTTCTTGGATCTTAAAAAGCCCAGTCTTAATGGGAGAGACAGTGGCACAGAGATATATGCTAACTTGAGGTATTTGATACATGTATTCTTGGTTTTACAGGGAATACCTTTAAAGGGAACTATACCTAGTAGAAACACCATCTTAGAGGATCTTAATTGGGTGAGAGGATTCCTTGGGGATCTGATAAAATCTGAGGATATTCATATTGGAAGTGGTTTTGAGATTAAAGTGGTGGTCTAATGATGTTTTACCTCATGATTCAGAGAGAATACTAGAGAGGAATGTATGCACGTAGAACCAAAGCACTTTGAACAGCATAAAGGAGTCTAATACATACAAATCATAAATCATACTCTTTCTATTTTCTTGCTTTTTTTGTGCTGGCAACTGAAGGGCTTCATGCTTGTTAAACACCCAGTCTATACCTGTACTCACATTTGAAATATTTCTTGATTGAAAAATTAGTTTTATTGTATCAGTGAACCTATAAAATAACTGTATTCAAATCTCTTTTAGAAATCTTATTCTAAAAATTAAAGTAATATATATGTATATATATATTAAAGCAACTTCTTAAATTGATTGAATCACTTACTTATTGTGGCAAAATATCACAATATTAAATTCATGATCTTTACCATTTTAAATACAGAGTTCAATGGTCTTAAGTATTTTCACAGTGTTGTGCAGCAGATCTCTAAAACTTTTTTATCTTGTGAAACTGAAACTCTGTATTAAACATTAATTCCCTCTTTCTCCTTCACCAGCCAATGGCAACCATTTTTCTACTTCCTGTTTCTATGATTTTTGTCTACTTTAGATGAGTGGAATCTCATTCCTATGAGTAGAATCATATAGTATTTGTCTTTTTATGCCTGGATTATTGCATACACTGTCCTTGAGCTTTATCTGTGTTCTAGAGTATTGGCAGGATTTTCTTCTTTTTAAGGACACATATAATTGTGCTTATATCACATTTTGTTTATTCATCTGTAGATTGACATTTAGGTTGCTTCCACTTCTTGGCTACCATGAATAATGCTGCAGAAATCACATGTGTGCCAATCCCTCTTAGAGATCCTGCTTTCAATTTTTTTTAATATATACACAGAAGTGAGATTGCTGGATCATATAGGAATTTTATTTTTAGTTCATTGAGGGAACTCTGTACTGTTTTTAGAATTTCCACACCATTTTACATTCCAACATTGTAGAAGGAGTTCAGTTTCTCTGTATCCTCCCCAGTACTTGTTCTTTTCATTTTGTAGCTACCATTCTATTGTGTGGAGTCTGATGAATTATCCTGCCTTTGAGAGTCCCTGAGTAGTCTTTTAAGTTTCCAATTTAGTCAGTTTTATTTCTTTGTATCAATGGTTCTCAAAGTGTGGTCCTTGAAAGAATAGCATCAGCACCACCTGGGAACTTGTTAGAAATGCATGTTCTTGGGTCCTATTTCAGACTACATAAATTGGAAACTGGACATGGTGGCTGGCCATCTGTTTTAACAAGTGTTCCAGCTTATTTTGTTGCATCCTCAACTTTGAGAACAATGTCCTGCACTAATAATTCACAGTCGCAGCTGTACTTAAGAACCACTAAGAGCTTCTCAAAATGGTTTTCTGATATTACGCTCCACTCCAAAAGCTCTGATCCATTTAAATTGTGCCTTCGGTGTTAGCATTGGCTTAAAAAAGCTTGTAAGGTAATTCTGATGCATAGCCAGCAAATCAGCTTGACCATTTTAGGGACCATGACTTCACAGATATTTCCTTGTTGGTGGCACCTTTCTCTCTCTCTTTTTTATATTTATTTTTTAGTTGTAGTTGGACACAATATCTTTATTTAATTTATTTATTTTTATGTGGTGCTGAGGATTGAACCCAGGGCCTCCCATGTGCTAGGTGAGTGCTCTACTGCTGAGCCAAAATCCCAGCCCCAGCACCTTTCTCTTGATGGTGTAATATACCAGTGCTTTTAAGACTTCAATAGTGTAAACATATTACCTGGAGATCTTGTTGAACTCTGCATTTGATACAGCAGGTCAAGAGTGGGACCTGAGACTGCATTTCTAACAGGATTATTGGTGATGCTGATGCTGCTGGTTCACAGAATACTCTTTGTCATAGTTTTGATATGACATGTGCCCAAAAGCTCATGATAGACAATGCAGAAATGGTCAGAGGTAAAATGATTGGATTATTAGAGGTGTGATCTCATCTGTGGACTGACCCATTTGATGGATTAATAATTTTAATGGATTACTGGTGGTAACTTTAGGGAGGTAATATGTGGCTGAAGGAAAGAGATCACTGGGAGAATGCCCTTGTGGATTATACATCTTGTCCCTGCCCCTTTTGCTCTCTCTGCTTCCTGGATGTCAGAGTTGAGCAGGTTTCTTCCTCTACACCATTCTGCCATGATGTTCTGCCTTACTTCATGCCCAAAGTGATGGGGTTTGCTGCTCATGGACTGAGACCTCTGAAACCTTGAGCCGAAAATACACTTTTCCTTTTCTAAGTTGTCTGGTATTTTGGTCACAGCAGTGAAAGTCTGACTAACACATACATTAATATCAGGAGTGGGATTGTTGCTTTAGCTAATATGATGGTTCAGAAACCTTTGAACTGGTTTGTGGAAGAGTTTGGAAAATTTTGGAGATACAAGCCGAAGAAGCCCTAGAATGTCGTAAGAGAGCTTAGTGGGCATTTCTGGTAGGAGTGCAGAAGACTAGAATGCTGAAAGGAATGCTGACAGTAAAGACTGTGGGCATGAAGTTTTAGAGGAAAGTGAAGACTACTTTGGGAGTTCAATTAGAGGTTGCACAAGTTCCATTTGGGCAAATAACTTGTGTATATTCTTTCCAAGTCCTGAGACTTTTTGAGAGCCTGAATTTAAAGATGATGGACTAATTAATCTGGAGGAAGGAATTTCAAGGCCACACAGCATTTAGACAGTGATATGGGTACTGCTCTTAGCTTTTAGCCAGGTTAACTATGATGATAATCAGGAACACAAAGCAGGGCAGAAGGGTTTTTACAACTTGAGAGTTTGGTCAGAAAAGTGTGCATGAAATTAGGATCAAGAAAGGTGTGATTGTTGAAGAAATAACTACCACTAAAGAACAGTTAAGTACTTTGCATAGAGACAGTAGGAAAGATATCTTCAGGTCATCTCAGGAATCAGTACGATTACACCTATCATAGACTCAAAG